ATCCAATACCAGTTGTATCCTCATTGAAAAAAAATATTTTAATTTTATTTGGTATTATTACTGGAATATTATTTACATCAACAATTATATTAGCAATTTTATTTACAATTGAAAAAATTAATACAATAACAATAAAAACAGGTAGAATAAAAAAAAACTCATTAATTTTATATTAAATTATTAAAAATCTTTCTTAATAGAAAATGATTTATGTGTAACTCCCTCTTGTATTAAAGCAGGTTTGTAAAATTACATATATAGATGATTGAAAATGGTATTTTTTTTTCTAGCAAATTATTTACTTGAAAGTATTGATGAAAGTATTGAACCATGTGAAAATTTTTTTCAATTTGCTTGTGGAACATGGTTAAAAAATAATCGAATACCTGATGATAGTAAGTTTCAATTTTTCTCTTTTGTTTTTCATAATAAAAAAAAAAATAAATTTTTTTTTTATTATTTTAAGCCGGTGCTCAAGATACATTCAATGTATTACGAAATCAATTAGAAAATCATGTTGTCGGTAAATAAATTAATATAGAATTTAATAAAATAAGAGTAAATGTTCTTTTTTTGTTCGACTATAGAAATTTCTATGAAAACTTTTATTTATTGAATAATTTCATTGATTTTCATTTAGGCTATTTTTCCAGAAAGCAAATTGCTATAGGAAAAAAAAACGAGAAGAACTTAATCTTGATATATTCGTGCTTACTTTTTGTTTTTTTTTTTTGTGTAAAAAGACCATTCGACTTATTGTATGAAGTTGATCTGTTTTTTTTATTTCTCTTAGATGAAAACAAAAGAAACATGAATTTATCTATTATTAAAACGTTATCAAAACTAAAGAAATTTGATCGTTTCTATTGTTATATAAATAATGTGAAAATACTTTCAAAATAAAATGAAAAAGCATATTAATTCTAACATTTCATGTTTGTATTTGAAAATTTTCTTCATATAAATACTTAGTTTAGTATTAAACAAAACAGAGTATATCATATTTTTTGATTACCAATTTTATTCAATAAAATGCAAGAACTCTTTCAGATCGACGAGAATTTAATCCGCACTTTGTGCTATCTCTTCACTTAGTTAAAGGTTTCGTTGACCTGAATAAGAGTTAAAGTACACAAAACAAATAGTGCATTTATATTAATTAGGAAACTACATTTTTTACATAAGTGTGTAGTTTTTCTATAGATACATTCATACTCCATTTACTATTTGCTTTGATCATATAGTAATCTGTTTGATGTCTGGAAATAAACTACTAAATCTGTATTGTTGGAAAAAAAAATTTGCTGATTAAAAGTATTTTTTTTCTCAAAAAAAAAAAAAAAACTCAATTATGAAAGATTGATATTCATATTTGGTTTATTTAATGAGTACTTTGATACTTCAGACTATCAAACATCAAATTTTCAAGAAAAATACAATCTTCAATGATTATATACAACTGTTTTCTATTTAATATCGACTTCAGTTTGATTTTTTGTAATATTTAATAATAAACAATTATTTTATTTATCATAGATATTTTAACATCACCATTACCAAATGATACAAAACAAATAAAAGCTATTGCTAATGCACGTCAATTATATGATTCATGTACGGATGAATTAGCTATTGAAACTGCTGGTGTAGATACAGTATTATCTGTTATTGATAATGAACTTGGTGGTTGGCCTATTTTAAATGGTTTATCATGGAATGAAACAAAATTTAATCTTTCACATTTATTATTTAAATTACGTGAATATAATAATAATATTATATATAATTGTGGTACAGGAACTGATGATAAAAATTCATCTGCTTATTATATACGAGTAAGAAAAACACACACACAAAAAAAAAAACTTTCAATATGATCTCTAGAGAATAAAAAAATGTAAAACACGATATATAATCAATCACACAATGATCTATTGACTTATGTAACATCATCCTATTACTAGAGTACTACAGGATAGTTTCGAATTCCGAAAAATCCCATTTGTTCCGTCCTGTGCGACAATCGAGATTGTACCGAAATTTTTTCGGAACGAGACAAACGGAATGAGGACAATATAGAAAAAAACTAGAGTACTGCGGAACAGTCCTGAATTCCGAAAAATTTGGTATGTTCTGTCCTGCGGGACAATTGAGATTGTCCCGATAATTTTTTGAGATGGGACTCGGAGTTGTCTCGCAGATTTTTATCTTGTTTAAAAAGTTTTTTTTTTTTTCGTTTTTTATAAAACTTCAATAGATTGCACAAAGTGATCTTGCTCTTGAACAACGACAATATTATTTAAATGAAACAAAACTTACAACTGCATATAAACAATTTATTTATGATTTAGCTATGTCATTAACAAATGATACAACAATGATTGATAAAGATTCTCAAGATATATATGAATTTGAAAAAAAACTTTCTATTGTAATTTATTATTATATTTTTTAAATCAATATTTTAATTTTATCTTTTTTGTTAGTTTCATTGGACAACTGCTGAACAACGTGCAAGACAAAATGAAATAATTCGTACAACAATTGGTAATCTATCACGAATATTTAATACAAGTGTTCGTAGTTTTTCTCTTTATTTATTTTTTTTTGTTTTCTTGTTAATTTAGGTTTTTTTTGTCTAAAAAAAATATATATATATAATTTTTGTTTTTTTTTTTTTGAAAATTTAGTTTGATTTTACAAATTATCTTCGTCAAATTTATCGTTTAGCTAATGTTACATTATTTGATAATGATAATGTATCTGTAAGTGAATTAGAATTTTTACGTAATGCATCATTAATTATTGATCAACATTCACCACGTGTTATACAAAATTATTTTATTTGGAGATTTATGATGAATAGAGCAGCTAATATGCCAAAACGTTATCGTGCTATAAGAGAACAATTTGATAGAGTATTTCGTGGTACTAATGCTGAACGTCCACGTTCAATAACATGTGGTTCTTATGTTAATATAAATATGGGTTTTGCTGTATCAAAACTTTATATTAAGAAACATTTTGATGAAAATGCTAAAAATCAGGTATTAAAGAAGACAAAAACAAAAAAGAAATTCCAATACATTTAAATTCATAAATTTAACATAGATGATTTTCTTTCTTTTTTTTTTAAGTCATTGGAAATGATTCATAATATTCAAAGTGTATTTATTGAAATGCTTGAAGAATCTACATGGATGGATGATGTTTCAAAACGTAAAGCAAAAGAAAAAGTGAATTAAAAAAAAAAATTATATTATAAAATTTAATATATATTTTAATAATAGGCTTTAGCTATTGATGAAAAAATAGGTTATCCAGATTATTTAAATAGTGATAATGTTACTGAATTAGAAGTAGATTATGCTGAAGTAAAGAAAAAAATAATAAAAATTTTATTAGAATATAGAATTTAATTTAGTATTTGATTTAGTATCAATTTAATACATCTTATATTCATAATGTTTTTAAAATGTTAACAATAAAATCTAAAGAAAATTTTAAAATACTTCGTGAACCTGTTGATCGAAAAGCATGGGGTGCTAGTCCACCGACTGTTGTTAATGCTTTTTATACACCAGCAAAAAATCAAATTGGTAAATTGAATTTATTTTTATTAAAAAGATAATTCTATGAGATATATTATTTATAAAATAAGCTTTATATCTTTAGCTTTTCCAGCTGGAATTTTTCAAATGCCTTTTTTTCATAAAGATGCACCGAAGTAAGATTATTTTTTTGTTTTTTTTCTCATAATCTATTTTTGTAAATGATAAAATTATTTTATTCTTTATCTAGATATCTTAATTATGGTGGTAAGTTTATTGTTTTATAATAGAAAAATTATTAAAACAATAAAACTTTTAGGAATTGGAGCTGTTATAGGACATGAAATAACACATGGTTTTGATGATAATGGTCGTCAATATGATAAAGATGGTAATCGAATACTTTGGTGGACATCAGAAACAATTGATCGATTTAATAAACGTAAAACATGTATAGTTGATCAATATAGTCAATATATTCTAGAACAAATTAATATCAGCGTACTAAATTATTATTTACACAACTTTTATTTTTTTTCATAATATTCTATTATAGATAAATGGTAATCAAACTCAAGGTGAAAATATTGCAGATAATGGTGGAATTAAACAAGCATTTTATGTAGGTTTAATATATACAAATTGTTATCTCTGTATGACTTTAGAAATAAAAAAAGAACAGAAAAACAAAAAAAATATTTAATCTTACAGATATAGATTACATTTCGATAGGCAGCATATCAAAACAAAACATGATAAAAGTTTGTCAAGCTTGAATTATTATGCTAAATCAGATAGATGATGATTTTATTTTTTTTTGCATGATTTTAATATTATATTTTATACATCATGATTTATGTATATATATATGTATTTCTAGGCTTATAGAAAATGGTCTCAAAAAACTGGAAATATTGATAAAAAATTACCTGGTTTAATTAAATATTCATCTGAACAAATGTTTTTTATTAATTATGCACAAGTATGGTGTTCAAAAATGACTGATTCATATGCTATGAATAGAGTTTTAAGTGGTGTTCATTCACCTGGACAATTTAGGTAAATATATATTTTCAATACCCAAAAAACAAAAACATTCTTATTTATTTTAAGAGTACTTGGTCCAACATCAAATTTTAATGAATTTGATCGAGTATTTGATTGTAAACCAGGACAAGGAAACAGTCGAGTTAATAAATGTACTGTATGGTAATATTTGCGAGACAAAACTATTTCTTTTTTTTCTTTCTTTTTTTTTTTATCTATTCATGTCGGTTTTTAATCATTCACATGTAAAGACAATGACAAAAACGAAATAATAACAAATGAACGAATAACACAAAAAAAAAATCCTTTTCTTTTTTTTAATATTTCGTTTTTTTTTTCTTTTATCAAAAAAAAAACACTTGGATATACTTATTGAGATAGATATATATAGATATAGATATTTTAATCATCTTTTTTACGTTTTTTCTTTTGTTGTTGTAATTCTGATGAATTATTATTTATCATATTCGATGGTATTTGCTGCTTTTTAGATTTTTTTGATAATTTTCCTATTGATATCATTTGATTTTTTCTATCACCAGCATTATGTTGAATATCTTCATCACTTGTTGCACTCATTGTATCAAATTGATCTTCATCATCATCAGATGAATAACCACCAAAATCAAATGGAGGTTCTTTTAAAAAAAAAAGAATTTTATTAATAATAATAATATTTTTAATTTTTATTTACCAAGTATTTTTGATGTTATTAAATGTATTGGACCATCACCTTCAACTAATTTAAATAATACTTCAGTTGTTTCAGTTAATAAAATTCGAAGATTAAAAGCTGAAATCTATTTAAGAGAAGAATAAAAAACAAAAAAACAAATAAAAATGTATCATACTGAATCATTTTTATTAAGTGATAATGAAAAAATTGGTTGATCAAGAATTATTTTATCACCAGAATTATCTTTTATTGTTAAATGTACTAAATTTCGTTGATCAGATTTTGCACCAATACCAAGAACAGCCTAAATTTAAAGATTAAATATTTTACTCTGGCAAATTTTCGATAAAAAAAATTGATCAAAATTTAAGTATTGTACGTTGAATCGCATCTGAAATCTATTGTGCTTTACTTGCAAGAAACAGTTATTCACATTATCTGATTTTTTTTCGTATCATCGGGACGGAAAGCATCGCAAAGATCTCCGTACTCTCGCTCAGGGCAAAGTCAAATTTTTCCAATCTTTTTGATAAAAATTATAGGACGAATCCGAGCCCAGATTTTAAGGCCACTCCCCTCAAAAAAAGTCACTTTTCATCGAAATTGAGGAACATAGCCCGTCATCTGGACAAAAATTTT